ACTACAAAAACAACTAAGCACAAAAGACAGCAGTAATGGAGGAAATGAGGAACAAAAAGCTCTAAGAAATGGAAAACAAATAATAAAATTACCTTATTGATAATTACTTTAAATGTAAATGGATCAAACTCTCCAAGCAAAAGGCAGAGAGGAGAAAAATAGATAAAACATATGATCCAACTGTGCTGTTTACAAGATAATTACTATAGATCCAAAGACACAAACAGTTGTCTTTGGTTACTATTCCATGCAAATAGTAAACAAAAGGGAGGTGGGAAGGTTGTAGTAACATGAGACAAAGAGACTTAAAATAAAAAATTTTACAAGAGACAAAGAACATTAAATATTGACAAGAGTCCATTCACCAAGAAACTATAACAATTATAAACATATATTTACAAAAACCGCTAAAATATGTGAAAGAAACAGTGACAGACTAGAAGGGAGAAATATACAGTAGTATAGTAATAAAGATTTCAGTAATGGTTTAGAACAACCATACAGATCAACAGATTTAATAGTTTAGTCAAGTGCACATGAAAAATTCTCCAGGACAGACCATGTGTTAGACCACAAAACAAGTCTTAATGAATTTAAAAAGACTGAAATCATACATGAATCATAAGGAGAACTGGAAAATTCACAAATGTGTGAAAAACAACATATTCTTTTTTTTTTTAAATCCTCACCCGAGGACATTTTTCGATATTTTGTTCAGATAGAGTGGGCGGGAGAGAGAGAGAGAAAAACATCGACATGAAAGGGACACATGGAGTGGTCGCCACCCACACGACCCAAGCAGGGCCGGGGACAAACTGCAACTGAGGTATATGCCCTTAGCAGGAACCGAACCCGGGTCTCTCCAGACCGCAGGCCAATGCTCTAACCGTTGAGCCAAACCGGCCAGGGCAGAAAACAACATATTCTTAAACAAATGATGGGTCAAGGGATACCCAATAGAAGTGAATGAAAACAAAAATATAGTAAGACAGTGCTAAGAGGGAAATGAAAAGTAAAAACATATACATTTGAAAAACAGATCTCCAATCAACCCCAGCGAGTGTGGCTCAGTGGCTGAGCATCAACCTATGCACCAAGAGGTTGCTGGTTCAATTCCCGGTCAGGGCACATGCCCCAGTTATAGGCGTGATCCCCGGGGGGGAGGGAGGGCATGCAGGAGGCAGCCAACTGATGTTTTCTCTCACCAATGTTTCTATCCCCCTTTCCCTTCCTTTCCCTCTAAAATCAATAAAGAAAAAAATTTTTTATCCTCACCCAAGGACATTTTTGCATTTATCTTCAGATAGAGCTGGAGGGAGAAAGGGGGCAAAAGAGAGAGAGAAATATCGATGTGAGCGAGACACATCGAGTGGCTGCCACCCACATGACCCCAACTGGGGCAGGGACAGACTGCAACTGAGGTATGTGCCCTTAGTGGGAACCAAACCTCGGTCTCTCTGGATTGCAGGCCGATGCTCTACCCACTGAGGAAAACCAACCAGGGTGAAAAAAAAATTTTTTTAATAAATAAATAAGAAAGAAAAAAGATCCCCCCAATCAATAACTTAACTGTACAATAAACAGTCAATGGTATAGCCACTGTGGAAAAGTTTGGTGGTTCTTTAAAAAGCTAAACATAAAATTATTATAGGATCTAGCAATTCCACCCCCCCCAAGTGTGTGTGTGTGTGTGTGTGTGTGTGTGTGTATACATAGATACATACATATATAATTGAAAGCAGAGACCTGAATAGATACACATATGCCAATGTTCAGTGCAGCATTATTCACAACAGCCAAAAGGTAGAAACAACCCAAGTGTCATCAATAGATGAAAAGATAATAAAATGTGATATATACACACAATGGAATATTCTTCAGCCACATAGAGGAATAAAGCTTTTACATGCTACAATATGAACACTGAAGACATTGAATGAAATAATTTAGACAAAAAAAGCACAAATGTATGATTCCACTTACATGAGATACCTACAATACGCAAATTCATAGACTGAAAGTACATTCAACATATTTGAGAGTTGGAGAGTGAGGAGTTATTGCTTTATAGCTACAGAGTTTATGTTTGGGGTAATGAAAAATTTTGGTAATGGTAACAATTGCAAAACATTATGAATATAATTAATGCCACTAAACTGTACACTTAAAAATGTTGAAAATTGCAAATGTATATATATTCTACAACAATTTGAAAAAAATTAATGTAATATACCAAGAACCATTGACTTGTACACTTGAAATAAGTTAATTTATATAATATGTGAATTACACCTAAATAAAACTGTTAAAAAAAATAAAAAAGGATAGGAAATATCTCTTGGCAGTGAGATGCAGAAGAAACAACTAAACTACTGCACGTACCTACCGTATGCCAATCATTCTGCATATATTATCTCACTTGGGTAGCAGTGGAGAAACTAGAATTCATACTTTAGAAGTAAAACAATTCAGTTGGCCATGATGAAAAATTTCTAGAGATTAAAGTGGATATGGCTCCTACTGAAAAGCGCACTTAAAAGGATTAAAATGATAAATTTTATGTCATGTACATTGAATCACGTGGAACACTTGAAAGTAATACAATGCTGTCTGTCAACAAAACAAAACCCTAAGTATAATAAAATGATTTAAAAAACACTTTGGGTATTTTCATTTTCTTAATGACTGAAATAAAAGTCAGATAAACTGAACCTAGTTCAGCTAAAAATAATCTGTGTGACTTGAGCAAGTCATTTAATCTTTTATTAGCTTCAGTTTTCTCATCTGTCAAATGAAAGTTAGCATTTCTAGGTTGTGTGGGGGCAGGCACAAGGGATATCTCTGTACTTGCTGCTTAATTTTGCTATGAACCTAAAACTGCCCTAAAAAATAAAGTTTATTAATTTTTTAAAAAATCCAAATCTACTTCATACACAGAATGGTGTGATGTTCAGCATCCATCCAGTCCACAATCTTACATTCAAATTAGATTTAGCACCAAGAATATTCCTAAAGCAAACCAGGAGAAAATCAGCCATATTCTAGTAATTAATCCAGTACTGATTTTAATGTCAAATTCTATAAACTTAGGTAAATTCCTTAACCTTTCTGTGTCAGTTTCTACCACATGCTTTACCATTTCCTAAAGATTTAATATAAAAGTATTCTGAAAATTTAAATGATGTCTCAAATGTAAGATGGTACCACCCACACGACCCCAACCAGGGCCAGGGATAAACTGCAACCGAGGGACATGCCCTTAGCGGGAACTGAACCCAGGCCTCTCTGGTCAACGGGCCGAGCCAAACCAGCCAGGGCTGTCAATGCTAGTTTTGAAGACAGAGGAGCTCTGGGCCAAGGAATGGTGGGTAGTCTCTTGAAACTGAAAAGGCAAATAAAAGGATTCTACCCTAGAGCCTCCAAAAGGAACACAGACTTGCCATCACCTTGATTTTAGCCTGGAGAGACTCATATCAAACTCCTGATCCCAGGAACTATCAGATAATAAATTTGTGTTGCTTCAAGCAATTTAAGTAATTTGTTATAGCAAGCACAGTAGTTGTAATACACAAGTTAACTTTTTTGATACTTTGGTGCCTACATAAATACACATTAGTAACACAAGTTTTTTGTTTTTTGCTTTTTTTTAATCCTCATCCGAGGACATTTTTCCATTTTTTCTACAGACAGAGTGGGAGGGAGAGAGAGGAAGAGAGAGAGAGGGAAACATCGATGTGAGAGGGCCACCCGCACGACCCACCAGGGCCGGGGACAAACTGCAACCAAGGTACATGCCCTTAGCGGGAACCGAACCCGGGCCTCTCCAGACCGCAGGTGGACGCTCTAACCACTGAGCCAAACCGGCCAGGGCGTAACACAGGTTTTATTAAACCAAGGAGTACTGAGGCCCTGGCTGCTGTGGCTCAGTAGACAGAGCGTCCAACCCTGCACTGAAGGCTCGCGGGTTCGATTCTCGATCAAGGGCATGTACCTGGGTTGCAGGTCTGATTCCTGTGTGGGAGGCAACCAACTGATGTGCCTCTCTCACATCAATGTTTTTCTCCCCTGTCCTCCCTTTCACTCTTTCTAAAAATCAATGGAAAAATAAAAAGGGGTACTGGGGCCATACTACTTTTTTTGTTGTTGTTAATGCTCACTTGAGGATATTTTTTCCATTGACTTTTAGAGAGTGGAAGGGGAGGGAATAGGAAGAGGGTAAGGGAGAGAGACAGAGACAGAGAGAGAGAGACAGTGAAACATCAGTGTGAGAGAGATACATCGATTGGTTGCTTCCTGCATCTGCCCCGAGTGGGATTGATCCTGCAACTCAGGCATGTGCCCTAGACCATTTGGTGCATGGGGCAACACTCTAACCATGAGCCACACTGGCCAGGACTGCACCACTTTTACTGTAGCTTAGCTAATGACATCATCATTAACACTGGAAAACAAAATTTAAAACTGGAACTGTCACTGATTCGAGCGCTGTTGTTTACTCCCTACCATCCAGTAAGTCGTTTTTTTTTTTTATTCTCACCCGAGGACATTTTTTCCACTTTTTGTTCAGATAGAGTGGGAGGGGGAAAGAGAGAGAGAGAAACATCGATATGAAGGGACACATCGAGTGGCTGCCACCCGCACAACCAACCAGGGCTGGGGACAAACTGCAACCGAGGTACGTGCCCTTAGCGGGAACCGAACCCGGGTCTCTCTGTACCGCAGGCCGACGCTCCAACCGCTGAGCCAAACCGGCCAGGGCCCATCCAGTAAGTCTTTTAATTTTACTGTCAAGAAATTTAAGAGTCCACACTTTCCAACATCCAGTCACGACTACCACCTCAGTTCATGACATTACTTCTATCCTGGAAAACCTCAAGGTGTACTGCTTTCCTGGTCTTGTAATTACTAATATTTCCTCATCTAATTCCATACCAATACTGTTGTTTCATTTTGATCTAATTTTGACTGAATCACAGTCTCCCATCAGTTGTTTTTTTCCCCTTTGTGTCCAGGGCATGAACCAGGCACAGGCACAGACCAAAAGCCAAGCTGGGATAAACAAAAAGTTGTTTTGTCCCTGGCTGAAATGAGACAGGTACCACCAAACAAGGTGCAACTCTACCCAAATCAAGGACCCTGTTATAGATTTTTAAAGACATTTAATGATTTATATACAAAAGAGTAATCTTGCTAATGTGTGAAATCTAAAGAACAAAATAAACAGACTCAAAATGAAAACAGCCTGAAGGTTGCCAGAGGGCAGGGGGATTAAAGGGCTGGGTGAAATGATTAAGAACTACAATCTGGTAGTCACAAAATAGAGATGTAAAGTACAGCAGAGGGAATATAGTCAGTAATATTGTAATAGCTATGCATGGGATCAGGTGGGTACTTGAAATATCAGGGGACCACTCTGTAAATACATGATTGTCTAATCACTATAATGTACCTCTGAAACTAATATAGAATAATGACTGTAAAGTGTAATCGAAAAGAAAAGAGTAACCTTGCAATTTATTTGTATCCTTCCGTGGCCCAAAAAACAAACTGCCAGAGCATGAAGGATTTTTAGGACAGTGAAACTATTCTGTATGGTACTTTAGTGGTGAATATATGTCAATACACACTTATCAAAACCTACAGAAAATACACCACAAAGACTGAACCCTAATGTCAACTACAGGGTTATATAAATGTCTAATCACTTGCTTGTACACCTGAAACCAATATAATCGTGTATGTCAACTGTAACTGAAAAATAAAAAATTATTCAATTTTTTTAAAAAGGAAAAAACCCTGGCCATTTTGGCTCAGTGGTTAGCATGTCAGCCTGCAGACCAAAGAGTTGTGGGTATAATCCCCGGTCAGGGTTGAAAAAGGGACAACCAATCAGTGTGTCTCTCTCACATCGATGTTTCTCTCTCTCTCTTTCCCTCCCTCCCACTCTATCTTAAAATAAAAAATATACATGGAAAAATATCCTTGGGTGAGGATTAAAAAAAAAAGAAAAAAAAATGATATATAGTCTGTTTTTATTTATTTTTAATCCTCAACCGAGGATATTTTTTCCATTTATCTTCAGATAGAGTGGGAGAGGAAGGGGGGGGGGGAAGGGGACAGAGACACACACACACATACACACACACACACCAACATTGATTGGTTGCCTTCTGCATGACCCCAACCAGGGTCAGGGACCGAACTGCAACCGAGGTACATGCCCTTGACCAGAATTGAACCTGCAACTCTTTGGTCCATGGGCTGATGCTCTAACCATTGAGCAAAACCAGCCAGGGCCTGTTTTCATTATTAATCTTGAATTTTTAGGGGTTTAATCCAGAAAAAGCACATCAAGTAAAAACTTAAATCTTATTTTTTTAGCAGAAAACTTGATAAACATATTTTGCTTTCTCAATTCAGCAAAAATACTGCTTCCAAATTATAACTGTATTAGATCGTCCCAAAATGCGTTTCCATTTTCTCCTTTGTAATGGCTATACATTAGGTTTTTTGTTTTGCTAATCCTTACCCAAGAATATTTTTCCATTGATTTTCAGATAGAGTGGGAGAGAGGGAGAGGGGAAAAGGACACGGGGGGCGGGGGGGGGGGGGAGAGGAAGATGTGAGAGAGACATATTGATTGGTTGCCTCCGCATGACCCCGACTGGGGCTAGGGATTGAACCTGCAACTGAGGTACATGACCATGACTAGGAATCGAACCTGAGACCCTCCAGTACATTCGCAGACACTCTAACCACTGATCCAAACCAGCCATGGCTATAAACTAGGTTTTGAAGTTTCCTTCCTCAGTCATTTTGGGCTGCTATAACATCAACATAGACTAGGTAGCTTAAACAACAAACAATTTATTTCTCACTGTTCTGGAGGCTAGTAAGTCTAAGATCAGGGTTAGGTTCTGGCGAGAGCCCTGTTCCTGGTTTGCAGATACTGCCTTGTTGTGTCCTCACATAGGAGAGAGAGAGTCTCTCTCTCAGCGTCTCTTCTTGTAACAGTACTACTAATCCTCTTCAGGAGAATTCTACCTTCATGACCTAATTACTACTCAAGGCCTTACCTTCAAATACCAACACACTGGGGCTTAGGGCTTCAGCACATGAATTTTGAGGGGGGACATATTCAGTCCATGGTGTTTCCTTAGAAAAAGGTGCATGCTTTTTACTCCCTTTTCTCTTTTTCTGCTCTCTGTAATGAAGACCTTACAGCTGGACTCTAGCAGCTATGTTTGAACAAGAGGTAACCATAGGTACAAGTCTGGCGCTGAAACGGAAAAACAGAAAAAAAGGAGTCTAGGTTCCTGAAGACACTATGAAGATACCTACTAACCTTTTACTGTATACTTCACAACTTCATTTAAATTAGAGGAAAATGAATGTCTGCCTTTTAATTCTTGGTTATTTTAGAGGATTTCCTAATACTGGAAGTTGAAACTAAGCTTAATATTTTTATTTTTATTTTTTAATCCTCACCTGAGGATATTTTTTCCATTTATCATCAGATGGGGTGGGGGGCGGAGAGAAACATCGACATAAGAGAGACACATTGACTGGTTGCCTCCCACACGACCCAATCAGGGCTGGGGACAAACAGCAACTGAAGTACATGCCCTTGACTGGAATCGAACGTGAGACTCATTGGTCCACAGGCTGATGTTCTAACCACTGAACCAAACCGGCCAGGGCATAAAATAAGCTTAATAAAACATTTTCATGACCAAGAAGTAGGAATAGAGTTCAAAGAGATTATGTGCTATCTACATCAGTGGTGAGACAAAGAAAAATCTTTTCAATGGAAAATATAAGTGCTGTGATTTACATGTTGATCACTTAAACCAAACCAAGTCAGATATATCTCTAAAATAATAACTCTCATGTTTGAATTTCACAATTTTGTGTCTAAATTCAGACCCTGATAACCTTTAGATGGGTAGTGTGAGTTTCTGCCATTAGTAACTCTCACTCAATTCACTCTCCACTCTGTTGCCAGAGCTATCATCTTAAAATACAAATTTGTACTTTTCACTTCCTTTCCTAAAAATACCATTTTTAATTTCCTGTAGCTTACTGGGATAAATATCTCAGAGTCAGTAAGTACATGGTTTTATGGTTTCTCAGTGTTCAATTCATTTTGGTAGGCAGTTAAGTTACTTGTAGATCAGCTTGGATTCTGGAAAACAATGCTTATTTTTCACAACACCACTGGATTTCTGGAACACTAAACTTTTGATATGAAAAATCTTCGCAACCTAGTATGTGTCTTTGCACATTCTGTTATCTCTAAATAGAATGCCCTTCTCCACCCTGAAAACTACTGTTGAACCTCTATAACACAACTCAGCCATATTCTATTTTATAAAATTTTCATTTATTGATTTGGGAGACACAGAAAGGGGGAAGGACCGAGGGAGGGAGGAAGAGAGGCTGTGAGAAAGAGAAACATTGATTGGTTGTTTCATTTATTTATGCATTCATTGGTTGATTTTTTGAAAAAAAATTTTTTTCTCTTTATTGATTTTAGAGAGAGAGGAAGAGAGAGGAAGAGATAAACATCAATGAGAGAGAACATAGATTATCCACTCCTGCTGGAGATAGGGCCCACAAACTGGGATGTGCCCTGACCGAGAGTTAAACCAGCAACCTCTTGGTGTATGGGTTGAGCTCAACCACTGAGCTACACCTGGCCACTGGTTGATTCTTATATATGCCCTGACAGAGGACGGAACCCGCAACCTTGGTGTATCAGGATGATGCTTTCACCAACTGAGCTACATGGCCAGGACTATAAAATACTTCTTATTCAATGATATAGTTAGTTGATGTCCCTTTTGGGGCTTTAAAACTTCTCAATTAGAATGCTTATTGAGCTGTACTTTCCCAAGAAAACAGGAAGCTTTTTAAAGTAAGGTGTATTTTGCCCTAGCTGGTGTGGATCAGCGGTTACAGCATCAGCAGGAAGGGTCTTGGGATTGATTCCCAGTCAAGGGCATGTGCAGGAGGCAACCAATTGATATATCTTTCACATAGATGTTTTGCTATCTCTCTCTTTTTCTCTCTCTCCCCCTCTCCCTTACACTCTCTCTAAAAAGTAATGGAAAAAATACCCTTGGGTGAGGATTAACAACAACAAAAAAGTAAGGTGTATTTTACTCATCTGGTAAAAGAGTATGGAACACAGAAAGCATTCAATCAATGAGTAACAAATGTAGAAAAATCATCAAGATTATTTATGTACATTCATAATGCCATTATTTTTAATCAACAACAAAAAAAGCACCATTAGAATCTAAAGTATAGAACTGTACTTTAGAAAGACAGAGAGCAGATAAAGATTAGGGAAGAAATATTAACCCCAAACAAAATAGTGTAGTACCATGAGTACAGTGAACATTGAGGTGTCTGGGATAAGATTCTTATATGTGTATATTACATTTATATTGTTTTTTGATTGTCAAAGTGTTTTTTCAGAGATGGAAGAATAACAAGGTCTTTAAAGGATGTCAGCTGATAGGTACTATTACTTACTCTGTAGTTTTGTAAACGTCAGAATACAGCCCTGCTTTCTGATACTTCTTCTTTGGGGGACGTGGGGCCTTCTTTTCTCTTGGGATGAGAGAAAGCACAGGCTGCAGGGTATTTTCAGGTTCAAGAGGTTTGGCTGGGGTTTCAGGAGGACTGGGAATCTCAACTTCTGCTTCAGTAAAGCTATAAAAAGAAGTTTAAAGATAATTTTATGGTGAAAAAATATTTTCCTACAAGTGGTTTGCCATTTTAAAAAACATAACAGCAATTTTGCCCTGCCAGTGTGGCTCAGTGGATTGAGCATCACCCCATAGACTGAGAAGTCCTGGTGTGATTCCCTATCAGTACACATGCGTGGATTGCAGGCTTGTTATACAGCAGGGGGTATGCAGGAGTCAATCTATCACATCTATCACTCTCTCCCTTCCTCTCTCTCTCAAATAATAAATGAAAAACATATTTAAAAAAAACAACATAACAGCAATTTAAAAAAGGAGATATGGAGTCTTTCTCATATGGCCATGCTAGAGGAACGATACCAGACTTGTCCCCCTTACAGAAACTAACAGAAATACAGTAAACTAAACCTGGATAATGTT